ACATTTGTTACTTTTTATTTTTTATTCAGGGGAGTTGTTATATAGGGCTAACCTCCAAACTCCCATTTTCAAATTTTTATATATAAATTTCTTTGTATATAAAATTTGAATAAAGGTGTATTTATGTATGTATGTATCTTTGACACGAGCGCAATTGAGCAAACACGTGGATTTGCATTGTTTTTAAGAAGTTGATGGATGGAAGTTAGAGATATACCCGCGGGTTTGAGGCAATCCATGACCTCATTGGTGTATAAACTATGCACTGATATGCTTTTTCAGCCCGATTAACGCCTGCATTTTGAGAATTCTTTCGTACAAAGTAGTGAATTTTTGACATGCAAATTAAGGTCAAAGAGAAGGGTCTCCTGTGATCACGGTGGTATGAAAAATATTTCAGCTGAAGTTTCCATATTTTGTCTGTGAACTAACTGAATACACCTAGTAACTTGTAGCAAGATAGAATTCCGTGAACTACATTGTTGCAGTCGCTGCGCGCTGGACAAAATCTTTGAAATTCACACTTTCGATTGCTGTTCACAGGGGTGGTCTGCCCAAAAATCATTTTTGGCCTGTGGCGACGCAAAAAGAGAGAATTGGAGGACAACTAAAATCTTTTTGAAACATGTGTCCTAAACCCTTTTTATGGGCAAAAAATAAAAGAAAACTTTTTTCCGACGGGAAGTCGAGAGGACCGCTCTTAGAGGGAGTGGCACTTAATAGCTGAAGTCACATTCCCTTTGCTTTTCTCTTAATCCAGTTTTAAGATAGAAGAATTGTTACTTTACGTTTCTCTTCTCTCGACTGTTTTGTTTTCATAATTTTGACAAGACGCTTACTATGCTTACACATGGGAAATAATAGATTTAGCGCTGACTCTTCAAAGTACAAGAATGAAATCTAAATATTAAGGCAAGAAGCACGGGACTAAATTTCATATATGACTACGACGACACTCAAGTGAATTTTTAATATGGTCTACCTTACACACGGGTTGGATGCAGCGGATGTGGTATGGAATAATACATTTTGCTTTCTTTGTTTCTTTGTTTCTTTGTTGTTTTCATACTGCATATTTTAGTCAATAGGAGTCTTGGCTGCCTGAAAAGTCATTCTAGTTTGGCAAGATATGACTCGTTGCTATTGTTGTCAATAATCATTGATATAAATTTTGTTCCAACGTTTCAGCTGGTAGGCCAAGCAATAATGCATGTGAACTTGCCATCTGCAAATGTGACAGTGATGCAGCTAGATGTTTGCGCAAGAACAAATTCAATTGGTGGTACATTTTATATCCCAATAGCTCATGTTAAGAAAAAATTATGGAAAAGAATGACAACCTCTCACTCAAACACTTGTAAATGTTAATGTTATTAAGGCAAATAAAAAGTGACTCTAGATGTGCAAATATACTTTCAGTCATTGGCGCACCAAAGTCTTTTTTAGATTATCCTCATTTGAACGATCAGACCACAGGATCAACGGTTATTCTTGGCTTCAAATAATTCACAGTCGAAAACTTGTGTCCTCAAATTTGTTTTTTTTAATTTATTTGTTATAAAACGAATAAAATCTTTCCATGTTTCATTCCAGAGCTCGGATGTATAATATAAAAACGTGCTGGGTTCACAAACCACCCAGTAATTTTTAGCGGGTCGGGACAACTCTTTCTTCCCAGGCTTTCTCTGAACAATTTCCGCAACGGATCTTATATTCAAATAACACGCACCCTGCGCTAAGCTTCTCTGCTTCGTAAGAAAGGAATTACCTTCAACAACTTAAACTTTCAAAATGGGAGCAGGATCATTTCCCGCTAAAAAACATGCAATAAAAGGTTGTAACATGGCAATGAGTCACATTTTGTACCATACTGTTTTCCTTTTGATTGTTTCCGTTTCGGTGTCGCTGGTCTTGAACTGAGTGAAAAATCGATTGAACTGTTGTTATAATGCTGCTAGGTAACTAAGGAAACGCACATTCCTTTCGAGATGGGTTCGCAACTTGTAAGTCTCGTACCTGACTCAAATTCCTAATTCACTTTCATTTCCCTATAGTCTTTCCAGCATATTCGTGTTTGCGTTGCTCATCGTCTCACGCTCACTCCATGCACGATTGGGCGCTAAACCAATGAACTGTGATGCCCTGTGATTTAAATGAATTGTGGCGATGCATTAAGATAGTAACCCGAGTTTCACTGTTTTTATTCTCAAACTAGCTTCGAGTTTGCGTTCATGATTCTACAGTTTGGCGATTGAATTTTAGGTAATTGCTATGAGACATGGAGCAGGTGCTCGAGATGTAGTAGCTGGGGCTCTGGAAGATTGTGGAAGACCTGCAATGATCGGTAAATATTGATTCACAAATTCTTAGTTTGAAACTTGATGTCATTGTGAGCAGGCCTGACTGGACCTGGCCAAAATATAAACAACAGGCCATTTAGAAAAGAAGTTAGCCACAAGTACTGAAAAGTAGAATCATGATCAGAGAAAATGGTCAAAGCTAAACAAAAAAATTAAATAAATGAACAACTTGAAGCCAGGTTCAACTAAGCGAGGATACAAAAGATATAATAAACACTAGTCACACAGAGCACAGCTAGCTGCCTGTTGGTGTAACTAAGCTATTCGGTGTACGTGTCCAGTGTACGCAGCCTTAAAATTATGCTGTATTACAAGTTTTAAGATTGTCATAAAGGGTTTCATATTAATTCGCAGTTGCAGAGAGCTGGGTTACTCTGGGGGAAGTTATCAGCTCTGTCCTAATAAGTCCTGGCTAAGCAACAATGCTTACCAGTGCAGATGTTTTGGAACCGGATCCTGTTGAAAACGCATCATGGCTGTTTGCAACAACAAGAATTTCAAAATATTGCAGCTTTTAGAACGAGATATATGATTATTGTTTCCTGTTTAATTTTAAAAGCTCCGATTACGTAGAGTGGAGTATAGTGTATGCATAACCATGTGAATCTTGTTTATGTATCGAATACTTTGTTACATCGCTGGTTCAGCGTTACTCATCATATGTTCCTTTTTCATTGCGGAATAACGTGATTGAAATCTGGGATATGTCACGAGGTTCCTAACTCTTTACAGCCTGACATCGGTATTCAGGTTCTCCTTAATGTTCTCTATACCTTTCCCATCTTTACTCACAAAGAGAATTTCTCCAACAATGAAGAGCTTCTTTCGGTCTCGAGCCTTTTCTTTATTCTAACGATCCTATTATTTGATTCATGGTGATGCTTTTGGTAGAAATTAGGTTCTTATCACTCTTAGAGGTTAAAGGGTTCAATCGAATCCTTGCCGTCGTTTTCAGTCTTGCTTTTTTTATGTAACCAGTTGAATTCTTTTTCTAAGAAGATGTTTAATGCACAGCTTTGCAGATATCGAGATGCGAATGAGTGTGTTGTGCATTTGATCATTTTAAAAGCGCTATAGTCAAATCACCTTTTAATACAGTTTTGAGTATGAAATATTTGTAAGAGAGCATATGAAATGAAATTGCGGACAATTACAGGTCTTAACCAGTAGAGTTCTCTTGTTTCTCAAAAATTAAATCTAATTAGTTAAACACTAATTATTTACCCTTCGCTGTCACTTACTTTTTGCCTAAGTCTCATCAGTTATTGTGAGATCATAGTACTTAAACAAAATTCTAAGATATTTGAAGCGATTTGTAAGCGACTATCAAGTAAAATTGACCATCTACCTATCCTTTTCCCGAAATTAAGTATTTAAAAAAACAAAAAGTTCCCATATTTTCATAAACTGTTTTTTCATCGATGTACTGAAAATGTTTTTATTCTTAGTCTTCTTACTTGGCCCGTAAGTGGGCTGTCTCACTATTTTCGAAATTCTATTCTGTATAGAAAGTTTCTTTTCTCCTTTTATTGCGTCTTCTTTAAGATGAGTTTCTCTAACCTGAAACAGAAAAGCAAGAATTTTGCGAAGAGATCTTCCAAATAAAAAATATTCATTTAGGAAACGAATGACAAGGGGTGAGTGTAATATCTAAGGTGGAAGCCCTCATTTTCCCTCTACTCGAACGTTACATTCGGAGTATATCAATGGTCATTAATCCGACAATGTCACCTAGGAAGACTGATATCTCTCTCCAGAGCAAACTTTACCTTTGTGCAAACGACGTACGAGTCAGTAGCAAACAATTCAAAAGAAACCCCTATCAAGAAGCAGGAAAGTAAAAGGGGCACAATTCTCCAGTCTCAAGGGTGAAAAACAGAATAAAACATAAAGTTGACAAGTAGCAAATAAAACATAATAGAAAACATGATAAAAAATGAAGTTGAAATTGAACATTTTGTAAAAACGAGTTTTCAACGCACAAATTAAAGTGTGAATAGCAAAAATACTTTCTCATAATTGTTTAATCGTTGAACCACGTATGACTTACATGAAACAACCTACTTTTCATTGGTTTTCCAAATTCAAATATCACGTGATCCGCGATCAACATGATGGGAGCTCATTAAGAGATTTCGTTAAAACCGTTATTTCTCGTCAACTTCATGACCTGTGATTGGTGGATTTGGCTGAGTGGACTTACTATGATTGGCTGCTTCAACTGTTCGATTACAGCCAACTGTCCAATTACAGCTGTACAGAACGATTAGTGAAAAAGAACACAGCTTATGCACCAATCACATTCGAGTGAATTGTAATGGTTATTGTTAGTGGTAATAGGAGCGAGTGAAGTCCAATCCGGTCTGTAATCATACGAGTGATAAACAAAATCGGAGGACCGCGAAGCGGGAGTCCGATTTGTCAATCACAAGTACACTCAGGAGAATCATCTCCCGTAAAGACAATATCTGAAGTAAAAAATTCCTCCACTTTGAAAAAGACAGGTTGATAAAGAACGCCTAAGATTTGATCTTGATATTCCTGATTAATTCTTTTTTGGTTTCAGGCTATCGTAGATAGGCGCAGGCTTTAAGCAAAGACGACTCTGAACTTCCAAAGAAAATTATTTTATTATCCATTAGCAAGACTTCACACGATTAAATGTACTTTCACCATTCCATGTTATAGGAAGTTTTATACTTCAAGCAAATCTTTAAATTTTATCCTGAGTTAAAAGGTGCAATGTTCCAAGCCAATCAGTACTAACAGAGTCCGGTTCCAAAACATCTGCAACTGTAAGCTTTGCTGCTCAGCCAACAAGTCTTGCGACAGATCTGACAACTTCCTCCATAGTAACCCAGCTCAATACAGCTGCAAAAGCATTGAAATGAAAATGATTATAAAAATTTTACCATGCTGTTTCAGTGTCATCAGTACATTGTTTCAAAACAACGTTGTAGTTGGCCCCAACCCAACCTACTGGAAGCCAGCTCTGATCTCTAAGTTCCACTCTAGAGGTTTGTGGTAAGGCTCGTGATTAATTGATCAAACCTTGTTTCACTCGTGGTTACTTTATACAGGCGTGTTTGTTATCATATCTCATCATGCATACTTGATGTTATTTTGATTGTGTCTTGATTGCTATTTATGCTGTCTTGACTAGCTGACTCGCTTGCTTTGTCTAGCTCTAGTGCAGGCTGCTTATAAATCAGTAATCGAACGATGGAAAATTTTATCAAAGGCAATGTGATTTTAAGGCGGTTTCGAACCGTAATGATAATCAATCGATACTTACTAATCATTGCAGTTCTTCCACAGTTTTCCAGTGAACCACCGACCCCAACGAGAACACCTTAGACGTGATGTAAAGCAAGAACCTAAAACGAAATCAGCAAATATGTGTATTCATAACCCAGCGTACACACCTTGAGACAGAATCGAAAAAATGATTTCAAACTGCATTGCAATCCAATTATATTGTTCTGCACCCAAAAACATGTAACCATCCTTGATCTGTGCACAAGTACATTAAACCTTCCTTGGTCTGAAATCACAAACATTACACTTTCCTTGATCTGTACACGAAAATATTAAACCTTCCTTGTTCTGCAATCACAAACATTACATTTTCCTTGATCTGTACACAAAAACATGTAAAATAGACTTTCGGGCTGAGGCAACATTTTTATCAAGTCATAAGCTTTAAAATTCGTTAAAAAATTATTACCTTCAGCAACCGAAGTATTCAAAATGGTGACAACAACAATAGTCAACACAAAGAAGTAGTAACCGTGACGAAAAGCCTATGAAAAAATGATAAATTATATCACGAGTAAGCTTTGATTCTATTATAACTATTGGTACTTCATTAACCTTGTAGCTGATTTCTTTTCGTGCTCTCCACAAAATAACTAAAACTAGCGTGTAACCGGATCATTTTCTGCTAAAAAACATGCAATAAAAGGTGGTAACATAACAATGAGTACCATATTGTTTTCCTATTGATTGTTGCCCTGTCGCTGGTCTTGAACTGAATGAAAAATCGATTGAGCTGTTGTTATACTGCTGCAAGGTAACTAAGGAAACGCGCATTTCCTTCGAGATGGGTTCGCAACTTGTAAGTCTGGTATCTGACTCAAATTCCTAGTCCACTTTCATTTCCTCAGAGTCCTATTCAGCATATTCATGTTTGCGTAGCTCATCTTATCACGCTCATTCCATGCACGATTAGGCGCTGAACCAATAAATTGTGATGCCCTGTGATTTAAATGAATTGTGGCGATGCATTAAGATAGTAACTCGAGTTTCACTGTTTTTATTATCAAAATAGCTTCGAGTTTGCGTTCATGGAGACCGTGTTTTAGCGTTGCCTATTTCATTTCTCGATGACATCTCTTCCATTTATTGACTGATTTATACTTCAGGGGGCTTTTGAAAACATAGAAAAGATCTTGAATCCAAACTTTTTTCTGCTAAGAAAGGAGCGAAAGTACAAAGGTTTAAATGCATCATAGATAAAAGCAACATAAAACGTTTTCAGGCTAATTGAAGGTAAATAAAAAGCTAAACTCCAAAGAAAAGGGCGAGAAGATTTTTTTATGGTGTGGTCGACGATCCTTATAAAAGATCTGTGGTGAATTTCTGACATCATTAAGAAATTTCAAACAGTTTTAGCATCGGAAAAGTCATAATAAAAACGTAACCACAGCGGGAAAGGAAAATTTAACAATAAGACAATGAAAACACCGTTGATGAAAACATCATTGCGGTGGGTGACCTTAAAGATTTTAAATGGCAATTGTTTCAGTTGTGCATGTCTCAGGTTGGAAAGAGTTTTTAAAACCGATCACAAAGCCTTGTAAAACAAAACGATTCGATCCTACTTTACTTTCGACCATCGATCAGCCGAAATTGCTTCTGCCTCTTCCATTTATAGAACTGTCTTGATGAACCAGAAGGGATTCGTAAGCGCGTGTGCTGCATTGGCACAGAACAAGCTATTGCTTATAAACGTTTTCTCACCTATTTCTAGAGAATATCTGCTTAAGGTGAGCGACACCGATTCCGAATGCAAGCATTATTTAAAAAAAAAAAAACACCCTGATTTTTCAGTACAAAAGCAGTTAGCACTAGTTCCTTTACATTGTGGATGACAGCTTTGAGCTAAAGTATTAATTAATGCATATTTATGCAGGTTGGCTCAGTTCAGCTTCAAGATGGTTTGAATGGGGGCCTGTAAGTCACAAATGCGTGCAAGTGCGTGTCAGCTCTTTTATTTATTTATATGTATATTTTTTTTCAACGGCAACAGTAACTCATCAAGAGGAAGAATCTGGGCGTAAAAACTTGTGACTGATCGAAAAATTATCGGCAGGAAAATTTAGCCGCATTTGGGGGGTGTACAGCGTAACTTGCACAAGGAAGAAACCATATCTCAGAGTTTACCTCAGTGAAAAATTGACTGTCGGTGGGCACATCGGATCAGGTCGACAGTTCAAAATATAATTAAGTCATCCGTACTGTAGTGAGTTATTCATTATTGATTTATTATTGGAATAAAATGTTATCGAAAGCCGAGTGTCGATCAGGAAGGAAATTCATGGAGCCGACTCAGGAAAATTGTTTGTTGCAGTTGGCTCAACAAAATATTTTGGCTTTTTTCAACTGAGTTGACGATGTAAATTGGCCACCTTAAAGAGTTACGTCAGAAGAGGGACTAACGCTCAAAACGTGAGCTTTAGAAACTCTTTTCAGTCGGCAATCTACATTATCAACTCCGGATTCTGGCTTTTGTTTGTTCTCAATCAAACGCGTAGCGAGACAAAGGAGGTGTGATATTTTTATCTATGACCGAAACACTAGTCTTGCTCGATATAAATCTCCCTCTTCGAGTCTTTCACAGCTTTAAAGTTTGCATGGAGAGTTCGGCACGACCGAACTGTTTGGTTTAATTTGAAAAGAGTGCGCGACGCGAGGGGGCGTGTTTTTTGGAACATTTATTAGAGAAAAACGGGTCTTGCTTGTTGGTTAATCTCTCTCCTGAAACCTACAATTTCACACCGAAGTCAAACAATCTGCGCAAAGTGCATACAGCAGTTACCAATCTTTTTTTTGGTTTGTTTTTTTCAGAGCGCGAACGCTATGACTTTTCACTGTTTTAAGTCGAACGCATGACACTTGAAGAAGGTGCTTTTACTTTTGATCTTGTGTTATGACGTAGTCATGACCATGTCGTTTACGTACGGACCTGAAATTCGCTCACCCACTCACTGCCTCAACTATAATCTGTTGGACAAATAATCTATGCTTTCAAAACAGTAAAATGAGAGGTGACAGTGGATGACTCCAAATTTGGAGTCTGTTGTTTTTCTTATTGCGGCAAGGGTACAGATGCAAAGCATAACTTTCTGTGAGACGCCGATCAAAACAGCTCCCGAGATTGGACTCGACGATATGATTGCCTCAAGTTCAGTGCTGAAACCAGTCTTTCGTCAAAGGATCCAACTCAAAACCAAGAGAAAGTCAAGAAACACCCGCTTAAGTTCTTTATAGCTTTTATAGGTAAGTAATAAAAAAAACTTCTACTATTTGCACACCAGGAATGCACCAAACACATCCGACAACCTCGAAAAGGTTTTATACTTTTCTGCAGGAATTAAAATTATAGCCCACGTCTGGTAACGTTCATTTGTATCAATTCAATCCTAAAGCACATTCTTAAGTATTCATTGCAATGCAAGTTGCAACCCTCAGTATTTTATAACATCTTTCCACTATGCTTTTGACATCCATCTCCTGCACCACTCATCCAGGGTTTACATAAGATCTACGACTGTTTATCTCTAACTTCTAAGAAGTCTCGAGTGTGATAAGACCTGGTTTCGGGTGCACTTTCCGGACAAGAACCCCACTGCTCCTTGCACTTCTTCATCCTGCAGTCATGAGCAGGCTTTAAATCTACGCTGTAATCAACGTAGGAGGCCTGGGAATCAGAGAATGAAAAGTTTTTTAGAGTGATTCAGCCTATAGGATCTTCAGGAGGATATCTTGCGACCTTGACAAAACCGGAAAAGGCAACGTCATCAGAAGTCGCCCATCCCAACAAAATAGATACGGCACCAATCTGAACTTATTTACAATACTCAGTTGACCAGACGGCTTTAACTCGATTATGCGCAATAGCGTTTAATGTTTTTTTTTTTTTCGAAAAATAGACTTGCCGTTTGAACTAGCTCGCTCTACGATGACAACCTGGAGACATTGTTTCCGAGACTGCTGTTTAAGAAAAAGCCGGTTTACCTTGCGTGTATTAGAGTTTATTGCCCTTACAGTGCCATTTCTCAGGTACGGTGCTTATTCATGCAAGGGCAGTGTTTGATCAAGGGCAGCCCTTATCTCGTACCCAAATCCTACTAGATAACAAGGCCATACGAAGTCTGGGTATGAGATTAGGACAGCCCTTAACCGAGAAAATAAGGAACTTCCCCAAAATTTAGTAAAGCACCAACCGTTAGAGGTTAGGACTCAGGTGAAGATTATAGATCTCCTCCTTCGAAAAGCTACAGGTACTGTTAAGCACCTTCCTAAGAAGCTGCTTTACGTTTCGGTTTAATGATTACATATCAGATTCCCTCACTGAACATGCGCAGAGAGTAAGATGAAAAGCAAATTCTATAAGTTACCTTCAAGTCACACACATCAGTAGCCTCGCAGTCAAACTGAACGTGCTGTTAAAAAAAGGGGCCAGAAGGATTCATCAAATATTTATGCACTGGCCTACGGTAAGGCTAACATTTATGAAAAAATCCCAGACAGAGAGGGGTAACCGACTCGTTTCGACTGCGAGTTGTTCGCCAATGTCTCATTGGTCGCTTCGCTAACATATTACGGCAGAACTTGATCAACTTTCATTGGACTGAAAAGTCATAGAAGAGTTACTTCGTTTCAATACAAACTTAAAGACAAGGGGATGGAAGCAGGGGGGCATTTATAAGTCTTTCTGAATCTGGAGGGCCTAAAGCTTGCCATCGCTCATTCTGAGATTCAGTGGGTAATAAGCTAGAGAAGAAACTCCATCATATGCTTCACTTATCTCATTACATCCCTCTCCTTTGATCCATTTAGCGGTGGCCCACTTACAAATGCACCAAGTTGGAGTGTCAAGGGACATCTCTGTTTTCCATCATTAACATCACTGTAATCACCTGCGTGAGTCGTTGTGAATAAATAACAGTTAGGCCAGGAACAACTATAAGATCACATATGCAAGCTTTCAAAAAACCATCGTGGGCTTGTTTTGACAAAAAAAAAACACTAAAAATGACAAAAATACTCAGACGAAAAGTATTAGACAATTGCTCACCACTGTTTTATAATGATGATCGCCGTTGAATGAAAAAATTGGGACCTTGAGGGCAAGATTCAATTTGAGTCGATTGGCGTGAAGTGAATAAATGTAATTTTTCCATTTTAGCATAATCAATTAAAAAAATAAACCTGTTGACTTCTTCTAAGCCCGTCCGGTTGTAGAAAAGAAGTTAACCCTTTAACTCCCAGATCAAATTTGTAACTCTCTTTACTGTCAATTGTGCAATTCTTATAATGTCAGTTCAGAGATTTTAGTATTGGATCAACTAATTGATATTTTCCTTTATTCTCATCATTTATCTGGTTGATATTGTATTGGTATTGTAAGGAGAAATTCTGTCTTGGTCACTCATGGGAGTTAAAGGGTTAAGAGGCGACAGCTAAGACCCAATGTTTTCGCTCCAACATCTTGACCAACTCTGAAAATAAAAGGTTTCTCGGCGTTAAACACGCTTATCTTAATCTCAAAGGGCATCTTCACTAGTCCATCTTTAATCTCTCTGTCTATGAAGGCTTCAAGAAAAACACACTACTTAGGTACAAAATGTATTAAATTATGTTGTCATGCAAGCCCTGAAAACATTAAATCCATCAAAGCAACGAAAGTTAAATCTCATTTTGAGTGAATTTTTCTAAAACATTCTATTTAGAAAATGTTCTATTTTTCAATTTTATTTTCTACTTTGTTTTCTATTATGTTTTATTTTCTATTTGTCAACTTCATGTTTTATTCTGTTTTTCACCCTTGAGACTTGGGAATTGTGCCCTTTTACTTTCATGCTTCTTGATAGGAGTTTCTTTTGAATTGTCTGCTACTGACTCGTACGTCGTTGGCACAAAGGTAAAGTTTGCCCTATAGAGAAGTATCAGTCTTCCTAGATGACATTGTCGGATTAATGACCATTAATATACTTCGAAAGGATCGTGCGAGTTGAGGGCAAATGAGGGTTTCCACCTTAGATATTACACTCCTTGCCATTCATTTCCTAAATACATATTTCATCCTCTGCTGGAAGATCTCTTCGCAAAATTTTTGCTTTCCTGTTTCAGGTTAGAGAAACTCACCTTAAAGAAGACGCAGGAAAAGGAGAAAAGAAACTTTCTATAAAGAGTAAAATTTCGTAAATAGTTAGACAGCCCACTTTTAGGCCAAGTAAGATGACTAAGAATAACTACATCGATGAAAAACAGGTTTATGAAACTGTGGGAATTTTGTGCTATTTTAAATAGTTAATTTCGGAAAAAGGATCGATAGATCGTCAATTTTACTTGATAGTCACCTACAAATCGCTTCAAACATCTTTGAAAAATTTGTTTAAGAGTTTCGATTTCACAATTACTGATGACATTCCATTTTCTTAGGCAAAAAGTAATTGACAGCGGAGGATAAATAATTATTGTTTAATCAATTAGTTTTAATTTTTTGAAAAACGAGAGAACTCTACTGGTTGAGTCTTGTAATTGTCCGCAATTTTACTTCAAATGCTCGCTTACAAATTTTTCATACTCAAAATTTTATTTAAAAGTGATTTGACTATAGCGCTCTTAAAAACAGTGTGGAGAACTTGATGTCAGGTTGTAAAGGATTAGGAACCTCGTGACGTATCCCAGATTTTGTCATTTCAATCACGTTATTCCGTGAAACAGTAGGAACTGAATAAATCATGAGTAACCGCTGAACCAGCAATGTAACAGAGCATTTTATTCATAAACAAGATTCACATAGCTATGCATACACTATACTCACTCCACGTAATCGGAGCTTTTAAAATTAAACAGGAAACATTAATCTTCCATCTCGTTTTAAAAGCTGCAAGATTTTGAAATTCTTGTCGTTGTTGTTTCAAACAGCCAAGATGCGTTTTCAACAGGATCCGGTTCCAAAACACCTGCACTGGTAAGCTTTTTTGCTCAGCCTACAAGTGCTGGGACAGAGCCGACAACGTCCACCAGAGTAACCCAGCTCTCTGCAACTGCGAATTAAAATGAAACCCTTTATGACAATCTTAAATCTTGTAACACAGCCTCATTTCAGGACTGTGTCCACTGGACAGGCACACTGAATAGCTCAGTTACACCAAAGGGCAGCTAGCTGTGCTCTGTGTGACTAGTGTTAATCATACCCTTTTGTATCTTCGCTTAGTTGAACCTGGCTTCAAGTTGTCTATATATTTAGGTTTTTTTGTTCAGCTTTGACCATTTCTTCAGATCATGGTTCTACTTTTCAGTACTTGTGGCTAATTTCTACTCTGACTAGCTTGTTGTTTATATTTTGGTCTAGTCAGGCCTGCTCACGATGACATCAAGTTTCAAACTAAGAATTTGTGAATCAATATTTACCGATCATTGCAGGTCTTCCACAATCTTCCTGTACCCCAGCTACTCCATTTCGAACACCTGCTCCATGTTTTATAGCAGTTACCTAGAAATTCAATCGTCAAACATTTACAATCATGACTCCGTGTGTTCACTCTGTGTGTTCACATGTAATTTACATGTGTAGTCTTGACTAGCTGATTCGCTTGCTTTGTCTAGCTCTAATTCAGGCTGCTTATAAATCAGTAATCGAACAATTGAAACTTTTTCGTAAAAGGCCAAAGTGATTTTAAGGCGGTTTCGAACCGTACTGATAACCAATCGATGTTTTCTGATCATTGCAGTTCCTCCACAGTTTTTCAATGAGCCACCGACCCTATCGAGAAAACCTGATCCGTGATTTAAAGCAAGTAACTAAAATGAAATCAGCAAATATATGTAGTCATAACTCAGCGAGCGCATCTTGAGACAGAATCGAAAAAGTAATTTCAAACTCCACTGCAGTCCAAGTCAACTCCTATTTACTGTTCTGCATCCAAAAAACATGAAACCATCCTTGATCTGTACACAAGTACATTAAACCTTCCTTGATCTGCAATCACAAACATTACGCTTTCCTTGATTTGTACACAAAAACATTAAAATTTCCTTGATCTGACAAAAAAACCCTAAATCTTCCTTGATCTGCAATCACAAACATTAACCCTTCCTTGATATGTACACAAAAACATTAAACTTTCCTTGATCTGACAAAAAAAGCATCAAACCTACCTTCGATTTGCAATTAAAAACACGAAACCTTCCTTGATCTGTGTACAAAAACAGTTAACCTTCCTTGATCTGTACACAAAAACATTAAACTTTCCTTGATCTGACAAAAAAAGCATTAAGCCTTCCTTAGTTTGCAATTACAAACACGAAGCTTTCCTCGATCTCTACACAAAAACATTAAAGCTTCCTTGACTTGCGATCACAAACATTAAACCTTCCTTGATCTGTACACAAGAACATTAAACATTCCTTGAGAGCTACACTCACAAACATGAAGCCTCCCTTGATTTGCACTCACCAACTTGAAAGCTAAAGCTGCTGGATACATACTCCGAAGGGTAAGTGTTTTATCATTAAATAGAAAGTGTAAAATATACTTTCGGACTGTGGCAAATTCGTTAAAAAAGTATTACCTTCAACAACCGAAGTATTCAAAATGGTGACAGCAACAATAGTCAACACAAGGAAGTAGTAACCGTGACGAAAAGCCTACGGAAAAATGATAAATTATATCACGAGTAAGCTTCGATTCTATTATAACTATTGGTACTTCATAAACCTTGTAGCTGATTTCTATTCGTGCTCTCCACAAAATAACTAAAACTAGCGTGTAACCGGGTCATTTCCTGCTAAAAAACATGTAAAAAAAAGGTTATAAGGTGACACTGAGTCGCATTTCGTACCATATTGTTTTCCTATTGATTGTTGCCCGGTGTCGCTGGTCCTGAACTTGATGAAAAATCGATTGAACTGTTGTTATACTGCTGCAAGGTAACAAAGGAAACGCACAGTCCTTTCGAGATAGGTTCCCCATACATATTCATGTTTGCGTTGCTCATCTTATTACGCTCATTCCATGCACGATTAGGCGCTGAACCAATGAATTGTGATACCCTGTGATTTAAGTGAATTGTGGCGATGCATTAAGATAGTAACTCGAGTTTCAATGTTTTTATTATCAAAGTAGCTTCGAGTTTGTGTTCATGGAGACCGTGTTTTAGCGTAGCCAGTTCATTTCCTGATGATATCTCTTCCATTTATTGACTGATTTCTATTTCAGGGGGCTTTCGAAAACACAGAAAAAATCTTGAATCCAAACGTTTTTGTGCTAAGAAAGGAGCGAAAGTACAAAGGTTTAAATGCATCATAAATCAAACAACATAAAACGTTCCTAGGCTAATTGAAGGTAAATAAAAAGCTAAACTCCAAAGGAAAGAGCGAGAATATTTTTTATGGTGTGGTCGACGATCCTTATGAAAGATCTGTGGTGAATTTCTGACATCATTAAGAAATTTCAAACAGTTTTAGCATCGGAAAAGTCATAATAAACGTAACCACAGCGGGAAAGGAAAATTGAACAATAAGACAATGAAAACACCAACTCATTGCGGTGGGTGACCTTAAAGATGTTAAATGGCAATTGTTTCAGTTGTGCATGTCTCAGGTTGGTAAGAGTTTTTAAAACCGATCACAAAGCCTTGTAAAACAAAACGATTCGATCCTACTTTACTTTCGACCATCGATCAGCCGAGAATTGCTTGTACCTCTTCCATTTATTAAACTGTATTGATGATCCATAAATGTTATCGAAATGTTAGTCTCGCTCGTGAATAAATCTCTCTCTTCGAGTCTTTCATAGCTTTAAAGTTTGCATGGAGAGTTCGGCACGAGGGAGCTGTTTGGTTTGAAAAGAGTGCGCGACGCGAAGGGGTGTTTTTTTGGGAACTTTTGTTCGAGAAGAACAGGTCTTGCTGGATATCTAATCTCTCTCCTGAAACCTACATTTTCACACCGAAGTCAAACAATCTACGTGAAGTGCATACAGCAGTTCCCATATTTTTTGGTTGTTTTTGCAGAGCACGAGTGCTACGACTTTTCATTGTTTTAAGTCGAGCGCGTGACACTTGAAAACATGATAATAACCTCGTGTTATGACGTAGTCAAGACTATAAGGTTTACCTACGGACCTAAAATTCGCTCACCCACTCACTCCCTCGATTCTAAGCTGTTAGACAAATAATCTATGCTTTCAAAACAATAAAATGAGAAAGAAAAGAGGTGACAGCGAGTGGCTCCAAATTTGGAGTTTGTTGTTGGTCTCAATGCGGCAAGGGTACAGATGCAAAGCATAACTTTCTGTGTGACGCTGATCAAAACAACTCCTGAGTTGGACTCGACGATATGATTGCCTCGTGTTCAGGGCTGAAAGCAGAGTTTCGTCAAAGGGTCCAACTCAAAACCAAGAGAAAGTCAAGAAACACCTGCTCATGGTGTTCAACATAAGTTATAATTAGCTTTTATAGGTAAGTAATAAAACAACTTCTACAAGAAACAAAGCTAATTTTTCTTTTTTATTTGCACACAACGAATGCGCCAAACACATCCGAAAACATCGCAAAGATTTTAAACTTTTCTGCAGGGATTAAAATTATACCCGCGTCTACTAACGTTCATTTTTATTAATTCAATACTAAAGCATATTCTTAAGCACAGTATTCATTGCTATGCAAGTTGCAATCCTCAGTATTTTATAACATCTTTCCACCACACTTTTAACAAACATCTCCTGCACTTCTCGTCTAACGTTTAAATAAGACCTACGATTGTATATCTCTAACTTCTAAGAAGTCTCGAGTGTGATAAGACCTGGTTTCGGGTGCACTTTCCGGACAAGAATCCCACTGCTCCTTGCACTTCTTCATCATGCAGTCATGAGCGGGTTTCAAATCTACGCTGTAATCAACGTAGGAGGCCTGGGAATTAGAGAATGAAAAGTTTTTTTAGAGTGATGCAGGGTATAGCATCTTCATAAGGATATCTTACGACCTTGACAAAACCGAAAAAGGCAACGTCATCAGAAGTCGCCCATCCCAACGAAATAGATACGGCACCAATCTGAACTTATTTACAATACTCAGTTGACCTGGCGGCTTTAACTCGATTATGTGCCATGGCGTAAAATTTTTTTTTTTTTTTTAAGAAAAATAAACTTGCCGTTTGAACTAGCTCGCTCTACGATGACAAACCTGGAGACATCGTTTCCGAGACTGCAGTTTAAGAAGAAGCCGGTTTACATTGCGTGTGTTTGAGTTTATTGCCCTTACAGTGCCGTTTTCTTAGATACGGTGCTTATTCACGCAAGGGCATATTTGCTCACTGAACATGCATAGAGAGTAAGATGAAAAGCAAATTCTATAAGTTACCTTCAAGTCACACACATCAGTAGCCTCGCAGTCAAACTGAACGTGCTGTTAAAAAAAGGGGCCAGAAGGATTCATCAAATATGTATACACTGGCCTGCGGTAACGAAAAAATCCCAGAAAGAGAGGGGGGTAACCGACTCGTTTCGAGTTGTTCACTAATGTCTCATTGCACGTTTCACTAACATATTACGGCAGAACTTGATCGACTTTCATTGGACTGAAAAGTCATAAAAGAGTTGCTTCGTTTCAACACAAACTTAAAGACAAGGGGATGGAAGCAGGGGGGCATTTATAAGTCTTTCTGAATCTGGAGGGCCTAAAGCTTGCCATCGCTCATTCTGAGATTCAGTGGGTAATAAGCTAGAGAAGAAACTCCATCATATGCTTCACTTACTTCATTACAACCCTCTCCCTTGATCCATTTAGCGGTGGCCCACTTACAAATGCACCAAGTTGGAGTGTCAAGGGGACATCTCTGTTTTCCATCATTAACATCACCGTAATCACCTGCGTGAGTCGTTGTGAATAAATAACAGTTAGGCCAGGAACAAATACAAGATCACATCTGCAAGCTTTTAAAAAACCATCGTGGGCTTCTTTTGACACAAAAAATAACACTAAAAATGACAAAAATACTCAGACGAAAAGTATTAGACAATTGCTCACCGCTGTTTTATAACGATGATCGCCGTGGAATGAAAAAATTGGAACCTCGAGGGCAAGATTCAATTTGAGTCGATTGATGTGAAGTGAATAAATGCAATTTTTCCATTTTAGCATAATTAATTGAAAAAAACCTGCTGACTTCTTCTAAGCCCGTCCGGTTGTAGAAAGGAAGTTAAGAGGCGACAGTCAAGAAGCAATGTTTTCGCTCCAAGATAGAACTTTGACCAACTTTGAAAATAAAAAGTTGCTCAACTTTTAAAACACGCCTTTTCTAATTTGAATGGGCATCTTCAGTAGTCTGTCTTTAATCACTATGTATATGAAGGTATCAAGAAAAACACACTACTTAGTTCCAAAATGTATTAAATTATGTTGTCATGCGAGCCCTGAAAGAAAACATTCAATCCATCAAAACAATGAGAGTTAAAATCTCATTTGGAGTGAATTTTTATAAAACATTCTATTTAGATGGCGCACAGGGGCAGAAATAACTTGGCCCAGCCATAAAACAAACTATATGAATATCCATGATAGCAAGGCAACCTGTCAGTTACCTTCAGTCTGGTTGGATGAAACGAGAAAGAAAATACAGGAAGTGAGTAGGCATAAAGCACAGCATACTTACTCACTGACCCACACCAAGATGTTTGTTGAGTAAATTTCCAAAATGACGTGCCTGGATCTCCAATCTTGGCACAGACTCGATGAGTCGAGTCGTGATTGCAACGCCTATCATGAGATTAAACAATTGAATTTACATACAAAATTAATATAATAACAATAATAATAATATGGTTTATTAACAGCGTATCCAATTGTGTTGCCTCTTCATCTGTTAAACTAATCAATGATACTAACTGATAACTGAGATGAGTAACAATTAAGACCTATGGCTGTATACAAAGTCTATGTAATGTTAATTTAAAAAATATATTTAAATAAATGTAAGTACACTGAAGTATTAGGAAAATTTTTTTAGAGTTTTTAAAATATTAGCAACGAGTAGGTTATGCAGTTTACTGATAAAACTATAATAATCAATACACGATTTAATTTAATATGGAAAACTATTGAAAAGATTAGCTGCAGTGTCTTAAAAGGTTCCATTTTCCATAGGCACTACAAGACTGTCGATATCACCAGAGTGCAATTGTCTGGTAACATTGACTTTCTGTAAAGGCAGATAGGATGGCCAGGATGTCTTGTGACTGAGTTGCGCCCGGAGGCCGACCAAAAGATCTGACTACCAGCCATGATAAGTAGCCAAAATGAGTGAACTATCAGCAGTCTAATTATGTTAGAGGGAAATTACTTAAGCCTCTGACCCAAGAGGAACCCTACTTGTAGGTATTAAAAATGTTTTGAGAAAGCTCCAGGGGTCTCTTACTTTCATTTTAGTGCCTATAGTTCTAAAGATCGATAGAATTCCGATTCAGTAACTATGAGGACATCAAAATTAATCTTGACCGTATCGCATACTTATCAAAGTGACCTATCTTTGAACTGCACAACATCAATAACCAACAATCTAGCACGAATAAAAAAGCAGCTCACCTGTCGCCCCTAGTGTCTCCCGGACAGGGTTTGATCTGTTTGAGTGTTGATAACGCCTCGTGGGGTAGAAGGGCAAGCAACACCAGACATATTAACGCCAACATTACTCAACTGCGGGTTGAAAAAAAAACGGTTAGCTCTGTAAAAGGTATTGAGTGGTAACACGAATACTAAAACATTGACTCAGCACAGACATCTTTTATGAAAATTCTGGATCTCAATAAGTTTATTGATGTACGCCAGGTAACTAGAACTCCGATCTGTTGTCGAAGGAGCGGGAAAGATAAGACTAAAATAACCAAAAATTATAAAGTGCAACGTGTCTAGTAACTGTTAAAACGACAGGTGCAATCACGTTCGCTAAGAGTCTGAAGGGAAAATATCACTTCGAGTTAGACACTTTCAGCTCTGTCCGTGGTTTGCTCCTTTATAGCGAAATTATTTAACTTGATTTTTTTTACCTTTGGTAATTTTTATACCCTATTTCTCACTCATGATCTGTGTTTGATATTGCTATTGCAAGAGGAGACCTTTCCAGAACAGTTTTAGCTTAGACTAAATAACTTACATATATTCGTGTAGGTACCGCCCCACGTATAAAATCTTGTTAGGCGTGTGATAGGTTACTTTTCTTTCCAGACAATCACTTATGGTAAATTTTTGAAGGAAATAGGCAAAAAAAGTTCCTGTTAGATACTTAAATGAACCCTTTGTTTGTCCTTAAACATCTCATTTAAATGCGCGTAAATTATACTTCTTGAGGAAGCGTCATTATGTGCAGCTTCAGTCTGAAAAACACCCAGTAATAAAACGTTCAGGACTGTTTGTGGTTTATCCGTAGAATATTTGGTATTGACTTTTTCTTTCAATCGTTTACTATCCATTAAAGTAAGGTTTGTTCTCCAAAACAAGATGTCTGAGATGTTTCCGTGCAACCCCATAACATTCTAAAACAAAGCCCTAGTCCCAATGGTACTATAGTGTTTTTTCATTGTTTTCATTTACCTAAGAACATTTTGTATAATGACCTGTGGGGTCCTGCAGAATTCTCCCCCAGAAGCTCAACAGCAGTTTTGGTACCTATATGGTAATTTTCCCCAGTAATTTTCAAATATTATGTTTTATCTTCTCTTTCTTTCCTGGAGTATGGGTTTCTCTAAATACTTTTCTACACATTCCTCAGAGTATCTTACTCGTCTAGAGATGATAACATTCACAACACTGAAAAACAATACCTCGAAAGGTCAATTTTTGGCGCATCAACTCCATTTTTCTCTTATTCACTCAATGTAAATTTCGAAACTATTCGCTCCAGGTAAATTGACAAATCTGCCCCTAGACTGAGACGGAAGTTTAGCCTGACATTTTAAAATAAGAATAAAGTTTTATTTCATTTTATGACATAAGTATCACAGGAACAGGACCCAAGCATTTAGCATGGAAACAGAGAAAAACGTGATCCGAGACGCGTTACACGTGAAATTAACGCGTTGTAAATCGCTTATTCATACCTCAACCCGTTTCTTTCCGAAAAGCGGTGATCGCAGATCGTAAGCCCGAGTTTCATTTTCACCAAATTTTCCAACAGTAAAGTTGTATTTCAAGAAGAAAAATCAAGTCAATTTGAAATTCTCAGGATAGCAGTTCAGACGTTTAGACAATAATTGCAGTCAATTGTGAAGTAACGCGAGGGACTGAAATGTTATGTAACACGTTGTAAAACTTCGATCGAATAAAACTTATCTTACTCCTTTAAGTCCGCTTACATTCACTTTTTATCACCATAAATCAGTCATTCGTCAAATTGTTTGTTTGACGATTCGAATTAGGGTTAGGGATTACAAGACAAGTCATTCGTTTGAAAAGCAATTTCCATTACACACATACGATCAGGGCCTTTTGTCTTCTCTGTTCGCTTTCCTAGAGATTTCAGTCAGAATTCTTGTAGTCGTCCCGGTACATGCGATCAACAAGCTTAGGTGTGATTTCCGTAACTCGACGAATCAAAAGAAAACTAAATCAAATTCAGAAAAACTTACCCTCGTCGATTTCTTATCTCGAAGGTCAGTCGGCCGCTCTTGCTTCGTGACAAATGTGATTACAACTCCTAGTCACAAAATGCAAATTAACTACAGGTACAAGGAATTACAATACATGCATAAATTAACAATGCTGATACTTAACAGTGCTGTGTAGACAGTATATTCCTTAAGCAGGCCCACATGGTTAGCGTTTCGGCACGAACATTTTAGCGCCCGAGGTAAGATATCAGAGGTCTACGAAAGTATGGTGCGTTTTTCCTTTCAAAATTCAACTTTTCCGCTCGTCTTTTAAGGGTCTGGATATCTCTCGTTTCTCAGTTCTCTTATCTCTTATTTCCCATCTCAAAAGCATACTTTCGAACATGAAGGGCACGAGCACAAGCCTTCGCACTCATAAAAATTGATACAATAACATGTTGATCCACTTATCTACGCCATTGAATTTCACCTATGTGTTTTCCTCGTTAACGGGCAAAAAATCCTGAGCCGGATTCTTCCAAAAGAATGCGGCTGCTCTTACTCGTTGTAGAAGGCACAGTATACGTCTCAAGTAAAAGCGCGCGGGCATGGTTCACTCGATCAGAAAGGGCGACTTCAAGGTCACGCTGCACCTTTATTTTACCTTACGAGAAAGGGAATTGCAATTTAGTCAGCACAAAAGGTATGATGTTAGAATTTACCCAAATCTTACGCTGAATTCTCAGTGTTTTTTTCCTCGCCCCTCTAGTCTTTTGAGGTAATAGGTTCGTATGCCGAAGGATGAAATCAAATTTCTCTGCTTTCTCAAAAAAGAAAGGTTGACCGTTAGTAACAATTATAAATGGAGTCATATCTAGATGAGATATTAAAGGCACTGTGATCTATTAAAAGCTCATTTTCTACTGTAAACAGACGGGCAACAAAGCAATACTGATATACACTTCCAATTTACTACCGCAGCAAGCACGAAAAGGAAACTGAGAGTTTTAAGAACAGGTTTAGGTCATGTGATCTACCGCACCAATTCAACTCCTTAACCCTTTACGCCTTAACATCGGTACGCATATTCTCCACACTGTTCTCTATACCTTTTTAGAGGTGCTGACAAGGGGAATTTGTTTAACAATCAAGATATATATTCTCTAGAGGGTGGTGTCTTTAAGTGTGATTCAGAGGTGAAATTGCAAGGAGAAATTAGATGTCAGTCACTCTTAGGGTCAAATGGTTTAACGCCTGTTACATAGTTCCTTCGCAGCCAGTGTTTGATCTCGTCCCGAAACACACGTTCCCTTGCCATCAGCTGCTTCTATCGGAACGACATTACTCTCCCTTTGTTTTGAGTGCATGGTGGTCTTACTTAATAATGAGGCACTGCACAAATCAGACCTCGCCGTTTGTTTTCTAGAGCCAATCGCGTACCCATACAATGTTAGACACGTAGGTTCCCCGCGTGAATTTTCTCGGCGTTTTCACATTTGTGGGGGAGAGAGCCAGTTGCGTGACAAAAATCAAAGGATATAACTGTTGCATTCACAAAGTTTTTAAGAAATTCTCGTCTTCGCTATAAACAATCCCCACTTAGATTTTTAACCCTTCAACCCCTAAGAGTGACTAGCATCTAATTTCTCTTTACAATATCACCCCTGATTCAAACATTAAGGTCATAAGAATAGAGAAATTGTTCACAACTAAAACAACTCTTGATTATTAAACAAATTCTCTTTGTCAGCACCTTGAGAGATGTATAGTGTAGAGTATGGAGAATATGGATACTGATGTTAGGGGGGGGAAGGCTTAAGGCAAAAGAGAAATTCAGAGGAAAAAAAACTACCACACTCTTCAAGTTTCACATACTTTAATGTACAGCGATCTCTTTACATATAAAACGAGAATGCATTACAAATACGTGTGCTCATCTTCCATCACGATTCAGTTTCTTTCAATTTTACATTTTTGACGTTATACACACCTTAGCCGCTTGTGTATTTCGACAGTAAAACATAAGGCATGAAATTATCCCATTCCACTGTCTTAAGGCAAATCTTTGTACAAATTTTCATAATTCACATCTACAATGAAGATAATACCTCGACGACTGAAAAGTCGGAAATTGAGCTTTCAACAAACGACAAAGATTCGTTATACCCTCAATTACGTGACATATGCCTTGATGGAAAATTATCTCGAGCTGTAGTCTTAATCTTTTCAGTCAAATTGTATCCCTGTATCAACCTACATGATCAGTTCAAATGAGGAGCCCCCCAATTGCTTTTTCAAGCCTCAACATCAAACCACATACAACAAAATGCAAAAAGCCGATAATATCACTATATGAGCTACTTCAGTTTAATTTAAAATTTAAGATTACTTCTGAATTTTTCACAATAACCTGCATGTTTGCGTCTGATTTATTTGAGCGGTTACTGGGGAGCATTAATTAAGTTATTGTGATAAATAAATTAGGGATTGCATTTTACATACCGATTGAAATTAAAAAATGGAAAACAAGCTATGAATACATAACATAGAGACATTTCTCTCTTAAATATATATATATTTATGGGAATTAAAATAACAAAAACAAAACAAAACAAAATCATTGAGTTGTCGTTCTCAAAGCAAAAGAGTACTTTTAAAACGAGGCGCAAACAATCAGTTATTGAATCGATTTCAAAATTCACTTTCCACCATATATTAGAAAGAATAAAACTAAACTTGATATCTTTGGTCTTTGCAATCAAAAAGAGCTCAAGCACATTCAAAAGTTATACCGATCTGCATTGCCTTTGACATCGAATATACAAGGAAGATCGCGCCAATCTACAGCCTGGATTCCACGTACATTCCACTTCCATTCTTCGAAAACTCGGATTTCTTTAAGATATCAATAAACAATTTACCTTGAGTAGTTATACAGAAAAGAAAATTTCATTACGTTTAAAAGTAAGTAACTGCAGCCCCTTTCAAAAGGCTCTCATTACTATTTATATTACTTTTTTTCCGTTGCATTTAACTTCCATAGGTCAAAAGGGCTGCTTTTCACGGGTTAAGCCACATGCAACCAAACAAAAGGTTTTTTATTTAAAGGTTAATCAAACTGACCCAATACTCAGGCGCACTGAAACGAAACACCGCTGCTCACAACCAAAGTTTGGGAACAAGAAACAGACTCATTTCCTAAGGCAACCCCCTGGACACCAAACACTTAGTGGCGTTCAAACGAGCCTCGAAGGTTGAGATGATCATTATCCGATTCCGCGTAATAAAGGTAGCACGTGCATTAACGTAAAATTCTACAGAGCAACTATTAAGAAACGAGCTTGAAAGTTGTAAAAATTGGTAGAAAAATCCCAAGCTTTGGGACAATTGTTTCTTCCTAATTGTGCATAGTAAACCACACTCTCTGAGGCCTACCTACCCCTGCAATTATGCCTAGACTAAATCTAATTTTAATCATTTCTTACGGAACCAATCCTGCACGATGGTGTAGAAATTTTCCCGCCTTTTCTCTCTCGCAAAACTCCGAGTGATATTGGCGTTTCCTGATGACTTAAGAATTGATTCTGAATGGATTATAGGGAAACTAGGCATCGAACACCAAAAGCTCCATTCCCTTACTAAGAGATGTATACGGTATGAATACTATGAATGACTGAGTAGGTTACGTTAACTAACGACTGGCGAGGTAGGAATGGGTCCAAGTACTGGAAAGAAAAGGGCTGGGTACATTTCGTTAGAGCCTGACCATGGCTTGACTCATGTCGTTCGTGATCCTTGCGAGGGGTAGGATGGAGTTAATACACCCACGACACTGGCACCCACTGTGACGTTTTGTGCAATCGCTCGAGGGCGTCCTCCAGGAGGCGAATCGTGTCGTCGATATCATTATTAACGATTGTAAGGTCAAACAAGTGCCCGTACGTCTGGCGAAGTGCGTCCGACTCTTTGGCAAGCCTCTGAAGACTTTCGTCCTATCGAGGGAGGAAAAAAATAATAATTAAACAAAATTATAAATATTAAATTAAGCAAACAGTGCTGGTCAACGCAAGTTTTTGAAAAATTTGGTTCTCTTTACGGTGGCCAAATACGTTACCCACTCAGTTGTTAGAACCAAATTATCACCGAATTGCTACCGACAAGATTTTTCGATTGCGAATATAATACTAAAAACTTGAGAATAAAAATGAATTATATTATCAAAATCTTTCAGAATCACTCGAAAATATCAGAAGAGGCACGATAAACTTCACTATACAGACTTACAGCAACATCTCCGTTTGGCATGGGAGGGTTTCTCGTATTGTCGTTTCCAATGATGGTTGGTGCGGAGATGAACACGACGTAAGGAGAGAATTCTGCGGTCCGAAGAACCTTAAGCGCCTGATAGAAAAAAGCAAAATTAGAAAGCCGTGGTAACAAAGCGGTTCATGTGGCATCTAATTCTCGGAACTACCTAGTGACAAAAATGAGAAGGCTGGTCGTGCGAATGTAGACACTTAACATGTCACGTAAACTGCATTTATCGGAAAACGGACTTGAAAGGGGTGAAAAAAAAGCGGTATTGTTTGGATGATGTAGATCTAATTCAGTTTACTTCCTCAAGTAACACCAAGATGATTACAGTTCATATGCCTCAGCGCTGAAGGACATAATCTTAACGGCCTGTCTAAAAGGGCCCTGATTTACCTGAGGTTCCACGTCGAGAATTGCTGTGAGACCCTGATTAAGGTTGTCCCTTATCGTGTCGAGCTTGGTGCCGTACATGGCGCCTTGGTGCGTCCCGTATTCCAGGTATTTGTTGGCCTCTATGTCCATTAACATATCCTCGGCAGAAACAAAGAAGTAATTTTTTCCATCCTCTTCTCCTTCTTTTGGCTCTCTTGTCGTATCTTTAAAAGAAACAGCAGAAATTATTTCACCGAGTCTCACAAGCTTCATAGTTCCTCGTCTCGATCACAACGTTTACTTTTTCGGGAACCTGAATGTATGCGAATGAAGTTTACTCATGCCTTGTTTGCGGATTTGTTACAAAAACTTTGTCCCTAAAATGTTTTCAGCTTCATACTAAAAACGGAATTTTAGTGAAGTTAATATGATCCACCAATGGCGAAGACAATAACCGTTTACTTACGTGGAATAGGATAAGAAAATCTTTCGGGAAATTTATTGATCAATGTATTTTTAATATGTCTCCTTCCAACGCCATGAGCCCCTGAAAAAAAAGGCCATTGTGTGAACAGAGTAATCATTAACAGAGTAAATAGTATCAGTTCCACTAAACTAAAGGATAAGAGCCAGCGATCATCACCGCTGGATCAAGCACGCTTCTTAGCCATATCACGCATTCAGCACTGTTTTGTCAATGACTACACAGAAGCCTTAGTCGCATTAGACATTTTCAATTATCTTTGAAGGCGTCTCTTGGCAACGGCACCGGTGACATGGAGCCAAAATAACACTGGGTTCGAGATAAAGCTATTAATGGCAGTATTTGG